CAGCAGAAAACCCACAATTTCCTTTTCTCACCAGTTTTCCTCTTAATATCTGGCTCCCTTTCCCAGTTGTCCATCAGAGACAAGTCTGGAAGAAAATACCCATCCTTTGGAGACCTGAGCTTCGCAAAATGGCAAAATCATACCAAGCACTGCTAATGAAGTGTCTCCTCTGAACAAGATTGAGGCTACCCTAGAGGTTAACTCCAGGATGAGTATTAAGTAAGGAAAACTGAATCCAAGGCGGGAAGTAAACTTAGATCTCTGGGGTCAGCACTTCTAATTAGACAAAATTTTCTGAACCTAAAAGGGTGCCCTGATCCCTCCCCAGGGCTGCTGTCTGCTGCGGCTTCTTCAATTTCTTATCTTTGTTGCTGGATGCTTTGTAAGGAGTAGAAAAGGGAGATCTTTCAGTGTCAAGTATCACAGATTCCTACCTCTTTGATTGTCCCAGATGCCTCTACAAGACCGCACCACTCTGGCCAGACTTTCCTTCTCCTAGTTCACCTGTAGCAATTCTGGGTTTTGAGCACTAGATGCCCCATGGCCAGCCCCTGCACTGTGGGAGAAGGGTGGCTGTCCCAAATTGCAGCGAGGTGTGGCCGGGTGGTGCCAAGTAGCCAAGACAGCTTGGAAGAGACTGGCTCAGACAACAATCCTATTCACCACAGATGGATTCTGAACAGGATGCCCCTGGGAGACAGAGCACTCCAGACACAGCGGGAAGCATCCTTCGTTAAGAAGAGACTAAAATATGATTTGTATTGCACAAATAGGCAATATTCTTTGAATTTGAATGCTCTCCAGTTCACTCTGTGGTATCCATTACAGCTGTGTTTTAACAGCACTTTCATGGGCTGAGAAAGGAAGGGCGCTGCAGGGAATCAGATGTGCCTGTTTAGGAGATGATATTTTTTTTAGGCATGAAGTGTTTTCAGCTTCTATCAAAAGGCTATTGCCAATTCAGATCAGATCCTACACTCACATATAAGGCAAGTAAGGTGATTTGCTAACAACCCTTCTGAAACATCACATTAACTCTGATTTGCTGCACCACAACACATCACAATGTGAAGTTCATCGGCAGTGAGGGGTTGTTAACCTCTGATTTTCTAAGCCATCAGCCAAGAAAATAACTCCTGCTTGTTGGTATGTGTGACCCTACCATATCATCACTGCACTGGGACCACAAGAGTCGGTCTAGACAACTTATTTGACTAGTAACATTCATCCTCTTAAAACACCTGTGAAACATGCTCAACCCCATTTCGGAGATGGGGAACTGAGGCACGCAAGAACTAAGGACTGGATCTGCAATGAGTCTTAGGTACCTTGTTTGTCCAACACCTAGCTACTATGGAGGCTGTCAGATCCTTGTCCAGTTTTCATCTAAATGGTGACTCCAGAGAAGTTTCTTCTACCAAAGGCTAGTATCTGTAAGGCTATTTGCCCCAGGCTCTCCCATAGCTCTTGAAGATCTACTCAATAGTCAGTGGAGCTGTGGTTGCAATTCACCTCATCTGAAGCATTAACCAAATCACCACTAAACCACATAAGGAAAGCTCACATCATCTTCACAAGATAAGGTTCTCATGATTATTATTCAATTTTTTTCACCTGCTTTCTAAGTCCCCCCTTACACTTCACTTTTAGAGCCTTTTCAGGAGCTGGAAACTACAGCGCTCTTCATGTTGCATCAGACACTTTCCCCTCTTTACCCAAATCCCCTCTCTTTTTGTAGACAAACACTAAACAGGACATTATCACATCTTTTCTGACCTTTGATATAGTACAAGCCACAGAATTTAATTCAAAGACCTCCTTGTTAGCCTGAATAACTTAACTAAGACATGCTTTCCTGAATGACAACGAGGCTTAACGCAACATCTACAAGACAATTTAAGAGCAGGTTTCTTTAGTCAAACTTGTCAGTGACTCAAAATATAGAAGCAAGACTGCTTAGAAAGAGTACTATTTATGAATGAAGAAAAATGCCAGAACTCTCTCGGCTCATTTTTTACATTTCATTTTAATTCATTACTAATTCATTTCAAGACTTCTGTTTAATGGAGAACATCACTAAAAAATTGACTTCCCTAAAACAAATACAAATTGAAAGAAAAAGTACACTTACAGCTTGGAAAAGTCCACTTAATTGTAAAAATAAAGATATTTTTAAGGAACGGAGGCATTTGGTATCATGTCTCCTGCTCAAATTATTTTCCAGATTACAATATACATATATATGTATATATGCGTGGATGTACAAAAGGAACCTGCAAGCTACAACATAAAAAGAAATGAAACAGCACCACCTTGCCAGCAAGCAGTCTTGTGGTTTATTCATGTGAAGGCAGAAATGAGAGAAGCCAGGACCTTCCTCCTGGACTCAGCACAACTGGATTGTCTCTACACATTTAATGTGTTCTCAAGTAGTGCAAGGGCTCTCAGCAGATACAGGTTACCTAAATTCTTCATTGCAAACAGCTGTTTGTTCATTGCTGTTATTTTTATATATACATAAAAGCAGTAGGATCCCTGGTCTAAGCTTTAATCTCAACTCCTTGATGCTGTCTGTGTTGTTTAATCTCCCTACAGTATATTCTCCTTTCTGCTATGAATCTCTCATACTGCTGGAGCTGTGAGAATCTGGGCTACAGAACCGGAGCCTCTAGCTCAAAATGACCCACTTTGAACCATTTTTCCTTGCATTTCACGAAATCTGACGTCGGTGCTTTCTGACGTTAACTTTACAGGGTTGAAGCAACATGATTGAAAACCCCAGTACTTAAATGCAACTCAAATAGCCGTCCCACGTTCAGCTTTGCTGTTTTGACAGCTAGAGAATATGCTGTGTGGGAATTACTGCCTGCACATTATACTACCCTTCAAAGGTAGTATAATGGACCCTTCAATGGTCCATTAGCTCCTCATTCCCCAGTTATAATGGGTTTTAAGTCAAGTGTCCTTTCTCAACTTATAAATGAGTTCCAGTATCTGTCCCTGTATCAAATCCACATGGCACTTCCCTTCAAAATATCTCAAGGCAAAAGTAAGGAAGCAGCAATGTTCCTCTGTTACCAGTGGGGAAACTGAGGCACTGGGTGCTCATAGGACATGAGGCAGACAGTGCAAGGTGTAGATATGAGATTTCCCATTTTTCTTTCATACCTATGGATGATGAAGTCACTGCTGTGAAATTGCTATGAAGTCTAGTGCCATTTGAGATGTCCTACAGCACCTGACGTGAGTACAGGAGCTGTCATGTATGACACGGTGCAAGACCTGTGCCCTGTTGGGTGGGCAGATGCAGGATACTCCACAACACTTTAGACAAGACTAGATGCCTGTATTTAAGAGGTTGAATCCTACCCCCGCTCACATCTTTAAAGCCAAGGAGCTATGAAACACCACCAGAACTGCAGGTTACTCAAGTTTTGGAGTCCTCCCCTCCAGAGGAGTATTCCCTGTCCAGAAAGGGGTGTTAAGGCAACATCAGACTGCAGGCATTCAGAGCTTGGAAACGAGCCCACACAGAGTTACATGCCTGGAGGAGCTCCACAACAGGACAACTGGGGACAAGATTCACATCTTTTCTTGTAGCAGACCCAGAGCCAGCCCTGCCTGCAGGGCAGGTGAGCCAGGCTTGGCCAGGGCCATCTCCGCCCAGCAGACAAATCCTCTACCCCTACAGCAGCTTTAGTGGGGCCAAGGCAGAACAGACAAGTTACCTGGTCCTTTCCTGCACTGCTCCTTCAGACAGTGGGGTAGCTGGAGGCTGTGGCAGTCACTATGCAGTTAAAGAAGGTGGAAACCAAGTGTGCACCATGCCCTAGTCTTCCTCTCAGGCCCTGTGAAGTCTGAACAGAGAAAAAGGGACTGATGTGGGGTCAGGAAGGGAACGTGCATGAAGAAGGGGGAGCAGACCCAACACCTTGCAGCACCAAAACGCCAGTCTGAGCCAGGGAAGCAGCTGCCTTGTTCCGCTGGCAGGTCTTGCAATATAGCACGAAGAGAAAAATAGAAAGAAACAACCAAACTCAAAGGTCAGCATCGACTGCTGTCTCACACGCAATAACTTCTGGCCTATTTGATCTAGCAGTTCTTCTGCAGTGTTTCTCCAGGGTTCAGGAGAAAGGAAGAAATTACTCTCCAGGCACCCGGAGCATCCTCCTCCTGGAGGTCGGGCTGCTGGGGCCAACAGTGAGATAGCACAACAAGGGCTGATCCCTGTCCAGCGAGAGCTGCTTTAAGCCAAGGCTCTAGTGCTTGGCCCCTGCCTGAGCTACAGCCTTGCCTGTGCCTGGCCATGGGCTCTGCTGACCCTTGAACCTGCCCCATCACCACGGGCACGTCTGGTGCCCTGGGCTCTCTGCTCACCCTGGCTGCCACCCTGGGCTTGCCCCGCTCCCCCTGTTTGGGTATGGTGGGATGGGGTCCTGCTGGTGAGACCCCTGCCCTGCTGTTTGTGTTCTCCCCCTCAGCTCCCCATCTTTACAGAGCAGCTGGCTCTCATTGCACCCCAAAGTTTAACTCTTTTCCTCCTTCCTTTCTCATTGAGCCCTAGCAGAGCAGATACCACTGCAATGCAACTTGTGGAGAAGTCTTTTCAAAAAAGAAAAAAAGCCAAGTTGTACTTTGCAGCTGAGTCTTAAAAAAATATCTTTTAAAGATGGGAATGCAAAATAAGAAATTTCCTCCTGACGCCAGGTGATGGGCTCTTTAGATAAAGCTGGGACTTTAAGAAATAACACTGAAAAGATTTGCTTTGTGGTCATGAAAACCGGCAATACTTCAGATAAATTTCAAAATGGCAAAAACTTTAGATACAAGCTTTTTAGCAAAGTCTCTGTTCCTCAAAGATTTCCAAATTGTTGGGGGACCAGTAAACTGGGGTCCACCATCTCCTGTGCTATTGGCATCCTTCTGACTGTTTTAGGGATCCTTGCAAATCTTAAACCACATTTCTCTTTTTTTTTTTTTCTCTTCTCCCTCTTTCCCAGGCCACCACAGAACCCCCAAAAAAGAAACCGGACCCTGTCACTTCGGAGACGGTGGTGATCTGGGGGCTGCGCCTCTGGCAGGTGATTGGTATCTTTGCCATCTTTGTCCTGGCAGTCAGTAAGTCATAATTCTCTGCCTTGCACCAACCACACCACCACCCCAAGTAGGACCTGTTCCTGGAGGACTACAGACCAAATGGCCATGGAGGTCACAGGCCGAGGCTCTTTGGTATCTGGCATCACAGGGTCACACACAGGGGGTTTTGCAGCAGGGAAAGGCAGGTGTGGTCTTTGAAGGAATCACAGGTGGGCCACCATGGCTCCATCTTGTAACAGGTCCTAGCTGGTGGCATCCCAGAGAAGAAGAGGGACTATAGGGCTGTGTCACAGCTGGGACTGTTTTCAGCTGCAGTACCACATTCAGACCCAAATGCATGTTATAGCCATGGTCCTGCCCTGCCACACAACCATACAAATCATATGTGACCTCTTGTGGTGCTGTGCCACATGCTGAGATAAGAAGCCTCAAGAGGTCTGCAGTCACAGACAGGTCTGGCGTTAAGGTCCCTAACTCCTATTCTGGGTGCCAAGACTCTCACTTCATTTTAGGAGGGCTTTCAGGACTTAAAAACCTCCTTTTTTTTTTTTTTTGGACCCAGGCACTAGGAAGCCACTGGCTCAGACCCAGTGGCTGCAGTGGGATGGGATCAGACACTCTCCCAGCACACTTTGAGGATCTATCTGGGTATGGCTGATTCCCCACCTGAGTGTCTTCATCCAGCTTCATCCCCTTGCAGCTCACTCTCTGGGAAGAGTGTAAGCCAGCTTCACTGTGCATTGCAAACTACTATCATGAGCTTCCTTACGAGAATATCACTTAGGACACTATCATAACCCCATCAAAATTCAAAGGAAGGATCTTCTGCTCTCTCCTTGAGCCAACTATAACTTCATATAAAAAAACAGATCAGTTTGACATGAGTCAAACATGATAAACCCGTTTCTTTCCCATCTTCTTGTTACTCTCTAGACTTTTGCAAAGTGTATAACTAATTCATTTCTTCCAGCAAATGAAGTTACACTGACCCATCTACAATTCCCTTGAACCTCCTCTTTTTCCTGTTAGGGACAAGCGAGCAGAGGGACAGAGCCTGTCCCCCGTCCCTGCAGGTAAATCCCATCAACTCGGAGATCGCCTCAAATCCTTACCCACTCCAGGAAGGGCATCATCCAGCCGCGTGGACTTAGACACATCTAAATCTTCTATGCATTCTTTACCATTCTCTTCTCATTCTGCCTTATGGCCCTAATTGCTTGTTAAAATTAATTTCATAAGTGGAGCAATGAAGCATTTTAAAGCGACTAAAGGAATTGCCCTAGCTTTCTGCATCGCTTCTGCTCTCATTCCTCATAAGTGATGAACACTCTCCAAAACAGAGTGGCCACATGCAAGCTCCTGGTGAGGAACAGCCACAGGTGAAACCAACCCTGACCTACAAGCAGCCGCTGTTTAGAACATGGGTTTGCTGGGCCAGCTCTAAAAACATAGTATCACAGACAACTGGTTTCTAGTGCTCTCTGTTATTTTTTAATTTGCTGCTAAACCTGCATCTAGAGGTAGCCCCAATCTAATCGTAGGGCATAGCAGTCTGTGTGTCATTGTCTCTGCTGGTATTGGGTGAATCAAGTCACTTCTTGTTGCCACGGCCACCTCTTTGGCTGCTGTGGGTAGCCTGTATCAGTCCTTCCCTGACAACCTTCCTATTATGTTCCCATGCTCTGTTTAAGCCAGACATTCACGTTTCCAAAGCAGGCAGAAGCATTTTCCTCTGTTTTCTTTTCCCCTCATTGCCCTTTATGGGCAAACACCACCCCCACACCCAAAGTCTAAGGGATAACTACTCCTACAACCTGCCTGCTCTCAATCAGTGAAGCTTATGTTAATTCATCACATGCCACAACACCCTTTGCAATCACAAGAAACTCCACAGAGCAAAGCAAACGTGGCCAAGTATTTAAGCCTAGTGACTCCGTACACTGCGTGAAATAGGCATCGAAATTAACAGCAGGAGATTTAGAATGCAAGTAGACTGGTGAAGGGGTTTATTGAGCTGGTTTTTCTTGGTTCAGGGACATCAAATTGTAAAGAAGTTTTCGCCCAGTAGGTCTGATTGTTTTGATGTCTATTAGAAATTCTCTCTGGCGTTACCAGGTTATTTAGGGTTAGAAGCACGGAAAGTCTGCCACGCTGGCAAACCAACACACCAGACACTGCACTGCTTGCGGAAAAGAAACTAAGGTATTTTTCGGTTACTTAAAAATATCAGTTGCAAGAAGCAAACATCCGTGAACATTTACTTATCTAGTGACAGCCCAGAAATGAAATGTATTATAGAGAACAACATGCAAAGAATGCTACAGTGCTGAAAGCAGTGAATTATGAGAAACTAAAACACTTTTAAGGATCTGTGTTTAGACAAGCAAACAAATAGGTTACGTGCAATTCAGTAAAGTAACATCTGCTTTAAGGTTTGAGTTCCCACTAACACACGCAGGTGGTTCAACAAAATCAGACTATTATGTCAGCCTGCTACAGATCTATTACTGCGGAGGTAGGAAAGTGTTTGCCAGGAGATCACATGGTTTGGGCTTGCTGAGTCTGAGTGGTAAATGGATTCAGTTCATCACTATGTGAAATGGAGTCAGTTTAGGGCTCTACTGCTCTGCTACAGCCTTTCTGTTTGAAGAAGCTTTCTTTCAACGAGCAGAGGGGATTTGAAAGCAACCATACCAGCTCAGTCAGCTTTATGAAAACAACAAGTATTTGGTGAAGACAGCAACTGTTAACAAAGTCTGTGATCTGACTCAAAACAAGGCAGGTTCAAACTTAATGACATTAGAATAACTGAATCATACAGTCAGTTCTTACCAATTTCTCATATCTTGCTCCAGCAATATCGTCATCCTCCTTTGCTTTGCGATCCCCAAAGCATTGATGGTTCCCCAGCTTTACCAGCAAAGCTTTAACTCTCAGGAGCAGACACAGGTTTTTCTGTGAGTGAGCTCTTGAAGGCTGCCTTGGTATCAGTCCAAAAAACCAGGCAACGTTCTACTTTTCTAATGGGACAAGAGCTGGAGAAGAGCTTTGGTATGGTTTCCTTTTCCTGGTTCCAGGAGCACCTTCCCAGTCAGAACAAGAGGGTAGCACACCCCTCTAACAGCACTACCCCTCTGCACTCTGAGACAGAAGATGACCCTTTCCAGGGCTTCTCAGGGCCCACACATGATCCCATTAGCTTACCATCCCACCTTGTTATCAAGGCTTTAAGGGTGTGTCTACTATGTCACGTGAATTCAGGTGAGGAGTAAATAAGGATGAGGAGAGGAATTGAGATGCTTTTAAAGTTAATGCCCCTAGCTACCGCCCAGTGAGTGATTGTGGAGCACTTGAATTGAATTCCTTTCAGCTGAAACGGAAATAGAAAATAGTTCCCCCAGAAAGGTATGGTCCCAGGTATGCATGATAATTGCTAAGGGCAGCCGCAGGACCAACCTAGATCTACTCCAGAGTACCCCCAGCCCTGAAATGCACCAAGTGGGGATGGCAGATCCTCCATAAGAATGCCTGCTGAGCGACAAAACTTGCAAATATAGACGTGACCTAGGTGTGGTTTCCAACTCTTGCTCTTAGCAACTTCCACAAGATGGCATCATCACATAATAAAAGGCAGAAAAAACAGTCAAATCCAAAACTCTCTTACATTTCCTTATTTAATGAAAAAAAAAAAAGATATTAAAAAACCCACACAAAGGCATCTTAGATATCAACACACACCACTGAAATGGGCGAAAAGTCTCTGGGGAGATCTTCTAACTCATAAAAAGATTTTTGGGTAGATTACAGACCAAATGGGATGCCTTCTAGCTCTACCCAGCAGAGACAGAAGAGATGAAACATTTGCACGCATGTTAGCAGAAGACTTTTCTGTCTCTCCTGCAGCAACAGATAGCTAGCTTTCTCATATGCCATATGTAAGCATCTCTCTGTTGGACCCATCCACCTCCATCTTTTTCCTTTGTTTCTGCTCTGTGAGAAGATACAGCATGAGAGAAAAAAACCTTTGGGAGTAAAGCAGCCCACAGCAGAAAATATAACTTCGTAGCACATGCAGAGAATCATTCAGGTGATGCTGGAGGTATAACTCTCATGGATGTGCTCAATCATTACACAATTCTTATTCGTCTACTAAAAGGCCAAGACTGCCAATGGAGAAGGCACATGAGAGCTGATTTTTAAAGCAAGCACAACCTCTAAAGGGAAAGTCTGGAAAGAAAGGGAGGAAAAAGAAAGTTTCTCCGGTACCACGCACAGTAGGTCGACTCACTGTTGCTCCTCTGCCCTCAAGATTTTAGCTCAGTCATTTTGTCCTTGGTTAAAGGAAACCTTCTTTTTTGGGAATCAAGTAGAGCAATGTCCTGACAATGTGCCTTGAAATCCTTATCAGGGCTGCTTCAGCACCCGGCATAATTCAGCCACTCTGGATTGCTTCTCTGAATGCTGGCTGATAAGAAAAGAGACCCCTTACAGGCAGAAGCAGAGACAACAGTTGCATCTCTCTCTCTCTTTCTTGGAGAGACTTTGATGAGACAACAACAGACAACTGAGATTAGCTGTCAGGAGGATTTGATTCACTCAAGAGCACTGCTATCTGGTGTCTTCGTCTGGCTTTTTCTTTTTTTTTTTGTCCTGTGAAAGCTGTAAATGGGGAATTGAGGCCCTGATAGGCTGGGATTGAGTCATAACCTTGGAATCTTGCACAGCCTGTTTCATCCACAAAGACTGAGGACTTTGCACTAAAAGTATTGTCCTTTGCAAACTGCAGTGCTGCGATGGAGGAGGGGGTGGTCCGGGTCCATCCCTGGGAAAGCCAGCAGCCGGCCCAGCGCTTGCCCAGTGTGCTCTCTCTATTGACTCACTCTTTTCTTTGGCATCACAACCACCATCAATACTTTTAAGCAGCCCTGTGGGCCGTTTATTTTCTCCTCTGGATGTTACTTTGGTTTCAAGGTCTGCTGATTTCCTTGTTTATGTACACCCCCAGGTCTGACAGCAGCCCA